CCCACGACTGACAAAAAAAAAAAAAAGCAGCTGCTTTATCCGCTGACTGAAAATAGATGTTTTTTCCCCTCGCATAATCTAGCACGGACTGCCAGGCAGCTCAGTAGCGATCTAGGGAGAGCACAGGGCGGGTAGGGTGTGGGATGGTCATGAGAAGGGGATAGAACAGCACCGGGGCCCCAGGCCGGTGACACTGCTGAGCTCCATGAGGCCGTGCTAATGCACCTGCACTAGCAGTCAAGATGATCGCAACTGGGCTGGGAAGGTGGCTCAGTGGTAGAGCACTTGCCTTGCATGCATGAGGCCCTGGGTTTGATTCCTCAGCACCACATAAGCAAAAAGAAAAAAGCCGGAAGTGGCGCTGTAGCTCAAGTGGTAGAGCACTAGCCTTGAGCTGAAGAACTGAGGGACAGCGCTCAGGCCCAGAGTTCAGGCCCCATGACCAGACCCAAAAAAAAAAAAAAGATGATCGCAACACACGTTTTATGTAAGTGAATAAAATACACTTCTAAAACATCTGAGCATGATGTTTAGAACACACTTGAGAGGAACAGAATAAAAGGGCAGAGAGGGGAGGATTTTTGTTTTGCTTTTGTTGGTCATGGGGCTTGAACTCGGGGGCCTGGGCACTGTCCCTGAGCTCTTCAGCTCAAAGTAAGCACTCTGGGTTTCAGGTGGTTTGTTGGAGATAAGAGTCTCACGGGCTGGGTGCCAGTGGCTCACACCTGTAATCCTACTCAGGAGGCTGAGATCTGAGAATCACAGTTCAAAGCCAGCCCAGGCAGGAAAGGCTGTGAAACTCTTATCTCCAATAAACCACTCAGAAAACCAGAAGTGGCGCTGTGGCTTAAGTGGTAGAGTGCTTACCTTGAGCTAAAGAGCTGAGGGACAGTGCTCAGGCCCAAAGTTCAAGACCCACAGCCAACAAAAAACAAAAACAAAAAACAAAAAAAAAAACACCTCATGGACTTTTCTGCCTCTTCTGGCTTCAAATGATGATTCTTGTGATCTCAGCCTCCTGAGTAGCTGGGGTGACATAGCCAACAGCGCCCAGCTGAGAGCTGAGTTTGTTAGGGGATTTTTGGTTGGTTGTTTTGGTGGTTCTGGGAGTCAAACCTGCCTAGCATTTCTAGGCAGGCACTTCACCACTGAGCCACATCCCAGGCCAAAAGGTGAGTTTTTAAGTGACTGCAGCGTCATGGGATGGCAATGTCCCCAGACTAGAGGAGAGTCGAGAGGATGGGCTCCAGACACATCCGGCCACGTGGCAGATGGCCAGCCACGAGTGGGCCTGTTGCTAGGTCTTAGGCATGAACTCAGTGGCAGCGGGAGGAGCGTGCAGTTGGCCTGAAGGTTTTCCTGCTTCTCCCGCAGCCACCGGCCTGGTCTACAGTATGCACCCACGGGTGCTGGTTGAAGCATCCTATCTGGGCGAAGGTCTTCCTGCACTCATGTGGCTTCTCCCCAGTGTGGATCTGCCAGTGGACCATGAGCAAGGAACTCTGGGCAAACATCTTCTCACACTCACTATATCCGAAAAGCTCTCTCCCCCGCCCCCTGGGAGATCCTGGTGTGCTTCACAGCCATGAGGTCTCAGCAGCCAGCCCAAAGGGCACCACAGCCCGGGCTCCTCTGGGTGCCCAGCATCCGCTTGCTCTTTCCTGCATGGCCCAGCCCCTCAGCTCCCCTCCACCTGCACACATGGAGCCCCAGCTTCTGCTGCCAGCCAAGCAGCCACACGTGGGACCAACAGCTCTGGCCACTGCCCGCTCTGCAAGTGAGTCCTGCTGGGGAAACCACTCCTGGCTGTCACACACACACCGCCATGCTGAGAGAAACCAAGCACACACATGGCTCTATCATGGTAAGAGCGAGACAAGTGGAAAGCCTTGCCCCTGCACTGACCACTCCAAAGGCCATCGCCTGTTTAATGCGTCTACTGTGCACATAGGAAGATTCCAGACCAGCTAGATCCAGCCACTGAGGCAATATGTATGTGTGGCTCCATTTCCACACCAGGACAGGAAGGACATGGACGGCGATCCCACCCCCCTTCCCTTGCTCCGTCTTCTCTGCTCGTGTGCCTGGGCATGGCAGTCCACAGGACCGCCACAGAGGGCGGTTCGGAAAGTCGTGCTGCTCCTGATACGCACGAGAAAGAGCGTAAGGACCCAAGTTGTCCTTCCACACCAGAGGACACTGTCTCTAGCCCCGTCTGTGACTCAATGCATCTGAACACCAGCCGCCTTCCAAGGGACCGCACAAACTCAACGTTCCCACAAAATCGCAGCTTGCAAATGCCCCTCACTTCTCTGGCATTCTCATTTCTCTCTCCCTCTCCCCCCCCCCTTTGTTGCTAGGGATTGCATGGCTAAGTGGCAATGTGCTTCAAGTATGAGGGCCCAAGTTCAACTACCAGGACTGTCAAAACGAAATAAGCAAAGAAAACAAAAAAGATGAAGTGTTCCATTCTCAATACCAAGAAACGTGGTGAGGCATGCTGACTGTGTGGGTGCGCCACGTGACATGTCCTTGAGAACTCCATGCTGGATCCCCGGCAGGACTTACTTCATGACCAGCACATGCTGACCACCTTGGCCAAGCTTCAACACAGAGGGCCATATCCTCTCTTTTCCTCCTCTCCAGAACTGGTTATGGAGTTACACATCTACAAACCACTATTTTCAAAGGGAGCTTTGTTTCCTTCTGTTGGGTACAGGAGAGACTTCACCACCACCCCACCCCCTGCAAACCTCTCCCCCACAGACCTCCCCGCGCAGACCTCCCCCCCCCACAGACCCCCCCTTCCCCCATTACCCTCCCGCAGACCTCCCCCCCCCCGCAGACCTCCCCACACACCCCCGAAGGCCTTCCCCCCCCCCAGACCTCCCTCCTACCCCCCAAAGACCTCCCAGGCTTCCCAGGCGCTGCGCGACCCGCCGCCCCTCCCTCCGCTCCGGGGATGAGACCCAGCCGAGCTCTGAACTACCGCGCCCCGCTGGAGAGGAGGGGATGTGCCCCGCTGCCTTTGGCCTGTTCCTGCGGACAGTTCAGCAGGAGAATCAGAGAGACGCGCAGCTTTGAGCGGTGACCGCGTGGAATGAGGAGACCCGCACCCCGCACCCCGCGGAGGCCCCTCCCCTCTTCGTGCGCACGAAGGCAGCAGCCTTCATCTCCGCGGCCCGGCTCCCTCCCCGCGGCCCCGGACTCCCGGGGGAAGGACGGGCACCGGCTGCCGGGGCCCCGCAGAGTCTCTGTCCGGCCCGGCCCGGGCGTTGTGCGGGAGACGCTCCGCCCCGGGGAACCCCGCGTTCGCCCACCCCGCGTGTCACCGTGGGAGCGCACGGGCGCCGGGGCCTCGGGGTCACCCCGGCATCCCCCAGACACCCCGCCCGGCCGCCCCACCCTGCCGGTCCTTGTCATTCACGCCACTAAGCGGTGCCTGTGGTGGACGTGGCTTCGACGCAATGGCCGCCGGGAAACGTAGTCCCAAGACCAAAGGCGGCGCCGCCGAAAGGTAATCGTGGCTTCCGGGAGTCAGCGCCTGCTCAAGAGCACGCAGAGGGCTGGGAAGGTGGCTTAGTGGTAGAGTGCTTGCCTTGCGTGCCTGAGACCCTGGGTTCGATTCCTCAGCACCACATAAGAAAAAAGCCAGAAGTGGTGCTGTGGCTCAAGAGGTAGAGCGCTAGCCCAGGCCCAGAGTTCAGGCCCCATGACTGGACCCCCTGCCCCCCCCCAAAAAAAAAGCACGCAGACACAGTGGTAGTGTGGGAGGGTGGGTGGAGTATGTAGGTATGTAAGTAGGTGAGCGGTAGAGCAGACCCGCTCAGGGACCAGGCCCAGGCTCGGAGCTGAGGGCCCAGGCCGGGCACACTTGACCCGGTGCCTCCCTCACGCCCCAGGCAACTGGAGTGGACAGCTGGGTAAGGGAGCAGAGCGTGTAGAAGGGCAACTCCCACTGTGGAAGGAGCTGTCAGGTAAGGTTGTCTGTCCTAAGGGCAGCCTCTCCACTGTGGGACGATGAGCCACCCAGACCAAGGAGCTGTCTGCTGGGTCCCCTCTGAGTGTGTGCACCTGCCATCTGCTGGTATCGTGTGCCTTCCAGTTGCTTTATGTATTTTCATTTTCGACAAAAGTAACCCTTCATACCACTTACATAATCATGACTATGGTCTTTGTTGTCATGAAAATCACCTGAATGCTGGGTGCCGGTGGCTGAGATCTGAGGATCACGGTTCAAAGCCAGCCCAGGCAGGAAAGTCCGTGAGACTCTTATAAATAAACCACTAGAAAACCGGAAGTGGCGCTGTGGCTCAAGTGGTAGAGCGCTCGCCTTGAGCTGAAGAGCACAGGGACAGCGCCCAAGCCCAGAGTTCAAGCCCCATGACCGACCAAAAAAAAAAGAAAGAAAGAAAGAAAATCACCTGAGACTCATAAGTCAAAAGACATTTTGGTGAGTATAAGGATTCTCAGCATTCTTTTCAGAATCTGCAGAGTAATCTACTGAACAGACTCTTCAGGATTATAGGTGTGAGACGCCAGGGACCCCTGCTAACATTTACATTTTTAGAGGCCCCTATGGCTGTGACATGAAGAATGAATTTGAAGAGACAAAGAGTTCAGAGGATTGAGAAATTTCCAGGAGAAACAACTGTTTTGAACGAGGCCCACAGGAACTGAAGCTGTGGATGAATTCCAAAAATACTTGGCAGATATAACCACAGAACCTGGCACCACAGAAAGTAGCAATGCCTGACACGATACCAGGAGATGCAAAACAAACTCACTGATCAGAAATGTACACGTCTGCGGCTTCCATGTTCCTCACACATTCCTAAAAACTCTCTCTCCAGCAGGACTCTTTCCGTGAGGACTAAGGTATCCCATTTTAATTTGAAATTTCTCCCACATTCCTTGTATTTGTGTTTATCTTCAGGCTGAGTTCTCTGATGAGGAGTAAGGGGTTGGCAAGGTGTGAAGGCCCTGTCATGTGTGCATGCTTAAGGCTTCTCTCCCGAGTGACATTGCTGGTGACAGTTAAGAGATGACTTGGTTCTGAATGCCTTCCCACATGTAGCACACACATAGGGCTTCTGGCCAGTGTGAAGCCTCTGATGCTGAGTCCGGCTTGACCCATCACCAAAGGCCTTCCCGCACTCCATGCACTTGTAAGGTCTCTCTCCAGTATGAACTCTCTTGTGTCGAATAAGGTAGGCAGAATGGCTGAAGGCTTTACCACATTCATGACACTCATAGGGCTTCTCTCCTGTATGAACTTTCTGGTGTCTGACCAGATACGGCCTTCTTTTGAAAGCTTTACCACACTGCTTACATTCAAATGGCTTCTCTCCTGTGTGCGTTCTCTGATGAGTGTTCAGCTGCGAATTTTCTCTGAAGGCTCTGCCACACTGCTTGCATTCATAGGGTTTCTCACCGGTATGGATTCTCAAATGAACAGCTAGGTGTACACTCTGCCTGAATGCTTTCCCACATTCCTTACACTCATAGGGTTTCTCCCCAGAATGTATTCTTTGATGCCCAGTGAGTGACAAACGATGACTAAAAGCTTTCCCACAAACACCACATTCATACGGTTTCTCTCCTGTGTGGATTCTCTGGTGGACAGTCAGGGATGAACTACTGCGGAAGGTTTTTCCACACACGTGACATTTGTAGGGTTTCTCTCCAGTATGAACTCTCCTGTGCAGAGTGAGTCCTATATGGACACTGAAGGCTTTTCCACAATCAAGGCAGTCAAAAGGCCTCTCTCCAGTATGATCACGTCTAAAGTGCCGAGTTAGAGACATGTTATACCGGAAGGCTTTCCCACACTCACTACACTCGTAGGGTCGTTGGTCACTGTGACACTTCTGGTGTTGAACAAACGTCGAGCTGTCCCTGTAGGCTTTCCCACATTCCTTACACTTATAGGGCTTCTCTCCGGTGTGAATTCTCTGATGCTGAGCCAGGTGCGAAGGCTGCCTGAAGGTTTTCCTACAGTCCTTACATTTGTAAGGTTTCTCCCCAGTGTGAATTCTCTGGTGTACAATAAGGTATGCATTCTGGCTGAAAGCTTTCCTGCACTGCTTACACTCAAAGAGTTTCTCCCGGGTGTGAGTTCGGTGGTGCTGAGCCAGGTGGTGACTCTGCTTGAAAGCTTTCCCACATTCCTTACATTCATATGGTTTCTCTCCCGTGTGAATTCTCTGGTGAACGGTAACTGATGAGCTATGGGTGAAGGTTTTATCACACTCATTACATTTAAAAAGTTTCTTTCCTGTATAGATTTTCTTGTATTTCCATGCCTTGGAATGTGTGGAGAAGCTTTTCTTATCAGACTTGTAGTTATAAATATTCTCTTCCACTAATTTCCCAGGTTTGGTACATTTGTGGCCTGTTTCCTTAGTGAGGGTGTCTTCACAAGTTTCTGACCTGCTCGATGTCTCTTGCACTACCCTCTGCTTCTCAAAAATGCCTTTACATTTCCAATCTTTTTCAAGAGTGGAAAACTCAAGTCCAAAGCTGGTAACTCTGTCCACTGACATGTCATTACACATGAACTGCTTCAGAGGTAACTCCTGTCCCTCATACATAGGTTCTCCATCTGAAAGATGCCCAAGAACAAGGAGTCTTTATCATGGGCTGTTCACAAAGGAAACAATTAAAATAAGAAAGGTAATTAAAAACCAATGTGTCTCATCCTGTACAAGCATCTCAAGTGGAAAATATACAAGGAAGCCCCAAAGAATGAGAACATGGTGTTGGTTCATCTGCATTGTCAACTTGATTGGGAATACCTCTGGGCAGGTCTGAAAGTCCCAAAGTAAATCTTCCTTCCCCGAAGTTATTTATACTAGTTTGTTTGTTTTTTAAATCACGGTTAAGAAATACTGACCACAAACACACAAAGGAGTATGTAAAAATGACTGGGCAAACTCAGGGTGGTTGTAATGTCCTAGAGAAGAGGTCAGCAGTGATCATCAGATGTGCCTTGACCTTATCCTTGACCTCTCTCATTTGGAATCAATTTACATATGCAGGCCAAATTTTTTTAATACCAGTACTTCTGCTCAAAAATTCTCAAAAGAAGCTGGGCACCCGGCTCGCACCGGTGGCTCAGGCCTGTAATCCTAGCTACTCAGGAGGCTGAGATCTGAGGATCACAGTTCAAAGCTAGCCTGGGCAGGAAAAGTCCATGAGACTCTTATTTCCAATAAACCACTCAGAAAACCTGAAGTGGTGCTGTGGCCCAAGTGGTAGAGTGCTTGCCTTGAGCCAAAGAGCTGAGGGACAGCGTCCAGGCCCAGAGTTCAAGCCCCACAACTGACAAAAAAAATAATAATAATCCTCCAAATCTCATCTGAGTAGCTAAGATTACAGTCAGAGTCACTGGCATCTGACCACTGTGATCCATCCTTTACATATTTGTGTTTCAGTGAATCAAAAATCTTCAGGTCCCACAGAGCTCTGAATTTGGGGGTTGCATACTAAGGAACTTTCCCACTCATGTTCTACATCTAACAACCTAGGAAAAGTGTCACTTCTTAGAGGGATTTCATTGTTTTACTCTTTGAAAAAGAACTTATTAGAAAGAAGACCATAGAGTAGAAAAGAAAATATTTGGAGGCACATGTCAAGTACAAAAACTAGCTTTTTCACTGTTCGCAATAGCTAGGATATGGAAACAACCTAGATGCCCCATCACAGATGAATGGATCCAAAAATTGTGGTATCTATA